AATAGTTTTAACAACACTATGAACTCGTCTTAAATTCTTATTTGGTTTGCTGAACCCATCATGACACACATTTGGTGCCGTAAGGTTTTGCCGATCCGAGGTCAAAGTAAGCTCTTCGCCATCTGTAGAGACAAAAATTTTAGACGAATCAGTAAAGATTAGAAGTGATTTGAAAATAAAGTTAGTAACGATGAAAGATGAGCAAATTCTTGGGGCACCCTGTATCTAAACTTTTCTTTCATTTTGCCATTTTTTACTCGTCTGTGGTCATATGTTTACAGATTCCTACAATACTCTCAAACGACATTATTGGACTGCTTTTTCAGAAGAAATTTCTCTAGCAGCCAACAAATTGGAGTCTGCTTTGTTCTCTGGCTTGTAGGTTCACTATCTTCTTATCATCTTGAGGTAGTCATCTGTCAATCTTCTCATTTAGACCCAGGGCGAAATTTCTTGGAGAGACGCTTTTGGCTCTACAGAAAGCACCGCCTTCCAATATTGATACGTCAATCACAGAACATCATCAGAAGCTCTTCCAAGGCTTGCGAAAAAGTAAGAAGTTGCCATTAATTTTGTTAATTGGATTATTGATGTGTTCTAGAAAATAAATTGGTGTCGGAACAGGAATTGGGTATGTCCCTAGATGATATTCTCCATGCCGAAGAACGGGGTCGTTGGCACGTAGTTGCATATCTTGCACTTTGATGATTAAAATTCGTAAATTTAATTATTTTATGTGGGTGATTGGCTCATCATATCGTGTCGCTCATGAGGCGGACTCTGTTTCCACTCGTACAGTTAATAACAAAGATGCTCACTCCTTCCCTGAACCCATTGTACAGCTAGCAAAACGAGCGAAAATGAACACCGACGTACGAAGAAATGTTTTTTGTACCATAGGTTCGTTTTTACCTCCTCTTCTCAGATAATAAGTTTTTGTAATTGATTACTACATATTTAAGCAATATCGGATGACGAGGATTCAGCATTTGAAGGCCTTCTACGCCTTTCGCTTAGGGGACAACAAGAAAGGGAAATAATCTATGTATTGATTATTATGATGCTAAAGGAGAAAGCATCCAATCCATTTTATCCAACACTGATCGCAAGGTTTTGTGACTTCGACAAAAGGTTCATCGTGAGTTTGTCTTTTTTGTTTTACGAAGCTTTCTTTCGCTTCCTCACAATATTTATTTGGGTAGTGTCTATTTTACCCTTTACCTTCCCTGTAAAACCACTATCATCGCTATTCATTCAATTGCGGCAGTTTTGAGATGAGCAGCATCATATTAATTCGCCTTAGCAATTTTCATCTTTTATTATTGTACGCATCTACTACTATTTTGGTACTTCTTGTCGAACAACTAGTTACTGGAGCGGCTTAAAATTTGTTTAACATATGGGGAAAGAAGTCATGCCCTGGAACGACTTTGGTTTTAACGTTAAACATCATGTTATATGATTATAAAACAGTCTTTAACCGAAAGCTTCTTCCAAGAAAGGCTTATTCACATTTTTTGAAAACTATATCGTTCGTAGCAAGATAAAAAGGGGTTGAAAAGCCTAGTATGATATGTCTAGTGTGGGAAGCATCAGATGCCGTTATTCGACTTCGAGCGCTTAGTTTGAGTGGTAACTTTCTAAATCGTTCAAATTGAATGAATTTCTTACTCATTGAGCAATTTTGTTTGCATAATTACCTCGAAGCTCGCTTTTTTGTACAGTCATCGACTGATTCTCAGTATTGAGCCATTGATATTCGTGCCATCTTTTTAGTAATTCAAAAAAAAGAATAAAGAAGGGAAAGTTTTGGCAACACATCACGTACCCGTTTTTTGCTACGAGATAGCATGCTTGGCTAATCCAGTGATTTTAGTTTTGCTCGATCAGAAACGATTGAAACTAAAAGTTCAGAGAGCCAAATTAAGATGCGAGAAGACCGAAACTATTATAATGCTACTTGAGATAATTGAATATGCTGATTATTGAAATCATATCCATCCCTCGCGATTCCTCTGAAAGTGGTCTACTAGGGTTAACTGACATGCTGATCATGAAAATCATATCCATATTGCGCAATAGAGCTTTATCTAGGAAGGGTAGGTACACTAAGGGTTAGAACCGCTGATCTGTCTGGAAAGGAAACTTCATAATTTCCTGTCAGCTTGCGAAAAGGCTTGTCATGGAGATGGATTTGATTGCCGTCATTTATCCTAATACACCACTTCGTTGGCAGTTCAGTGATTTGAACCTCAACAAATACCTACGTCAAAGCTACTTTTGGAAATTATCGTGAAGAAATATTTACGATCGTATTCAGGATGGCCAGTTACCCGCTCTGGTAACGTTTTGCATCTCCCGAGCTTCTCGTATTCCAAAGAAACTAAGCTTCGCTTGAGCTTTTCTGGCCCTCCAAGTCTTCATTTCATCAGTTCGAATTTAACAAAATCGCAACCTTTGGATAAACCAATTACACCTCCTGTAGACAAACTTCTCTCAAACGCTAGATGATGTGTTGTCAAGACATTCTTTTTTGAGTTTGGCAAAAAACAGCAAGAACTCATCCGAAAATCCGATATAACCTTTTTTGTTAGTTTTGTTAGTTATATCCCTCTACTTCTTGTGAGGAGTAAGTCATCAAGGAGGGAAGTTCCGCGATTTTATACGAGAAGCTAATATTATATTGAAAATATTCATTAGGATATGCCGTCGAGAAATTGAAATATTGGACACATTAAGTCGAACATAATAATGTTGTAGCTGCGGGACCTTGTATATATTTATGTACGGAAGATCTCATGAAGTACTTCTTCAGCTCACGACTCAATATGCGCTGTGGGATCGAATTCGTGAAGCGACTTCGCTGAAAG